ACGACATACCGACGCTTCAAAGGTTAAATGGGTATTTGTTTTCCGTAATGAAGTAAAAAAATATCCAGATACATACATTCAAACAAATGCTAATACTCTTATTGTATTCAAGAAAGATGTTCTATTACTCATGTCTCGTCTTTACAAATATTTGGACTTTATCGTAAAAATATTTTTGCCCCGAAGTGTAATTTTCACCTCCCTCAGGTACTTCGATTTATCAGTAAGCATATAAAGGATGTAGAAGGAACAAAATTTTTATCTGGTTTTCTCTCCCACCACCATTACCATTTCATTTCCAAACAGATTTTTGGCAAGACAACTAGTCACAGTGAAATAATAATTGTGAATCAAAAATGACTGGTAAGTTAATATTAATCTATTTTACATATCATATTTTCCCAACACCTTAATCTTGCACAGACGACGTACAGGGTGCCCAAGGCGATACCACTTGAGTAAGCAAAAGGTGCCGTATTAACTCATTTTTAAGAAGAGCGTGGTTCCCCCCCGAATTAGATGACGAGGATGAAACAGAGAACGCTAGCGGAATTGAGGATGACCGAAATTAGTTTACATATGCATTAATAATAAAATTATAAAAGTAAATATATGTTTTTTATTTTGACAACATTTTATTGTTTTCATTAAATTGATATCAACAAATCCTAGCATTTAATTGTAAAAGTTTTATACACATCTTTATAATCAAACTTTAGAAAGTGCAGTGGTCGTGATTAGAAAAATGATTAAAAAATCATTAAAATCACTGGAAAGTACAGCGGGTAATTAAGAGGTCATTAATATGTCATTAAAAGTGAAAGCGCTGGTGATTAAGGGGGTAATTAAAAAGTCATTAAAACATCACTAATTACACTCATTTACTACTCCCATCCACCCAACTCTTGCAGTTCTAACACGTCTCCACCGGCGTTTACAAGCATGGTCACTGCAATTCTCCCAATGCATTTGAAAGTTTTGCAAAATACGCTAGCAAAACGGTTTCTCTAGCACTTCCAATCTGTTCCTTGTCTCGCCACTCACAAAAAACACGATATTCTTTTTCGTATTTTTGAGTTGTCTGGCAACAAATCCATTTTCACACTTTCTGCTGACTTTAAAATACGTGCAAGAATATCAAAATCTTCCATTACTTTTACCAGGCACGACTAAACGTGGCAAAACTTTTGACATTTTTTTTTAATTCAATGTAAACAAAATCAGTGTTTTGTTTTAAAATTGCTTGCTTCGATGATACGATAAAGCTTTGAATATAACTCGAATATTTGCGATTTAAACCATCTCGGACGTTGCTAAGATGACTCGGCTGTCGCCTCGTCACTTAGCAACGTCCTCGATTATTATAAATCGCACAATATTCTCGTTATATTAATAGCTATAATATAGTAAGAGGCTTAGGTACTAGTTGTATTTCGTAACGTATCTACAGTTTATTTTTTTGAATTGCTGGTGGGGGTAGTGTATGCACATGTGTGATATGGCCTGAAGCATGGTCTCCGTCTGTTTTTGACATTTGACAGCTACTAAAGTTAAAAAATAAAGCTTCCCCCTGGCATTCGCTTTTCATCACGATACACTTATACCGGTATGCTACGGAGCCAGCTTAATTTCGTTCAATTCGGCGCATGACGTCACGTGCGAAGCAACTACACAGGGCTGAGCCAAGCCGGTGTGCAATGACTGCAATGTATTGAATAAATTGGTTTTATTTTTTTCTTTTCAAACACATATTAAGAGGTTTTTTCTCAAAAACTTATTCAATTAATGGTAACACAATCATTTCTTTTATTTCACGAATGTTGTTCCTGGTAATACGCGCCTAAATGCAGTCAAAGGAATTGCTGAATGGAGTCGACTAAATATAAGTTTATAATAAAAATTTGTTACACTAGCCAACAAGCGTTTTGTGACAGAAGAAAACAGTTATTTTTTGTCCAATTCTATGTGTTAGACACAAAAATGATAAAGAAAATTYCCTAGCACGTCAGATTTTAAAGTTAGGCATTTTAAGATATCATATGTAAGTATGTTCGACAAAATCGCCGAAAAACGAAACACTTAAAATTCATTTTCTCCATTCTCATTTAAATTTTTTCCCCCCAAATTTGGATGCCGTTAGTGACGAGCAAGGGGAAAGATTCCACCAGGATATATTGACGATGGAAAAGAGGTACCAAGAGAGATGGGATCCAGCTATGATAGGGGATTACTGCTGGTTCCTGATAAGGGAAAAGAAAGTCTTTCTTTCAACATTGTTCTGGTTTAGTGAATAAATTATTTTTTTTTTCGTCGTCTATTTAATTAATTTCTATTTTAAATGAACAATTTTTACGATAAAATTTGAGAAAACTATTTTCCTGTAACTTAAAATCTGTACGTGATGGAGAATTTTTCTTATCAAATTCGTAAGTAGGGATGTTAATGCACCCTGATACAYGAGTCAATAGATCAATCACGTTAAAAAAAAAATGTTGGGTAATGTTATTAGTTTGATATTTGAAAATGAAAATAAGTGTAGTGTTTTGGTATTTGAAGTAAATTCAGTTATTTAGTAAAACGTTGCAAAGTTCAACAACAAACTTTAACTTGTTTAAATCTTTTACAAAATGTAGTAACTTTTTTTTTTCAAATATTGTCGTTTCACCATCCGGGGACACACTGTAGTAAATAATTTAGTATCTGCATTTTTCAATATTTTTGTTGTTATTAGAGTCTTATTAACGTTCCACTTTTAGTAGCCTCTGATAAAAGGTCCTTTTCAAAATWAAAAATTGTCAAAAATTACTTAAGAACAACACTGTTTTAAAGTTTTCAAAATTGTAAAAGACAACTAGTAAGTAAAATGAATAAATTTACCAACCACAAAAATTAATTAATTGTATAAGTTGTGCCAAAGCCTTCTTCATTTCTGTCTTCTGTCATTTTTCACAATATTTTTTSTGTATGAAAAAGTGGGGCTTCTTGGCTTAAAATTTGTCGTAGAGTTCAGTTGTAACACAGATTCTTCTTTTATACAAAAATCAAATGTTTCTGAGATATTTCACCTCAAAAAACGCAGTTGCRAAGTTGTCAGTGAGGCGATGGCTWTGGCACGGGTATTATTTTATGTTTATTGGTATGTATTAAATGTTTTTATATTGTGTTTGTTATAATCGAAGAATTTTTACCAGTAGTCATTGTGATTTTACTCACTTTATCCACAAAAAAAACTATTTTCAACGAAAATTGAGTTAAGATTAAGATAAATACATGCGTATTATAATAGCGAGGCATAGAGAGTTGCTTCGCAAGTGACGTCACTGGATGGGGGTATGCTGCGCGCTGGCATACCGTTGTGGTTTTCATAGAACTTGAATACGGGCTATTAGACGTGACGTCACAGACGCGACTGTACTGCAGCTAAACATACAGTGTTGCCAGTTGTGATACTAGAGTACCAAATTTATACTAGATTTTTTTTAATAGATATTTATATTTATTTGTAAATAAATAATAATTTATATTCTCAGCCAAATACACATTATGTGAATGTTAATATATTTTATTTTGTTTTGTTTTGGTACGACCTATCCACTCCTGTCGTTTGCAACATTCTGGCAATGCTGTAAACATATGTTTGACATACACAGAAAGTGAGGTTAGAACAGATTAAATTACAGAAATGTTGACTACAATTGTTAAAACCATTACGAAACGACACACATTTTTCATAGCAACTATTTCCTTAGAAATAATCTCCCTACACGTCCAGGATTCAAGACATAAACTTTTATTTGTTTAGCTTCAAAGGTACAGTCACGTACCTTGCTGACGTCATACTAATAGCGCGTATTTTTAAGTTCGGAAAATCTTCGTGATGGGCTCGGAACGCAACTTTAATAATTTATTAAAAAAAAGTACTGACTAAAAAACAATTTTGTTTAATTAGAGGTCATTTTTAGATCATAATCTTTAATTAAAAAAATTACCATGGTGGGTTGCCATTAAAAAAAAAAAATCCAGAACTCGAAAACTAAAAGAAATTTCGAAAATGTTATTCTTGATAAATGCTCACATTTTAATTGTACTTGAAGCTACACTAATAATTTTTTTTTGTAAAGTGCTTAGTTTACGAAAAAAAAACGCTTAGTTCCATACTTTTTATTCACCTGGTACATTTCTGTACAGAACTTGGTTTGTTAATTTTTTCATTTTAATTTGAGAAAAAAGTTCAAAATCGTATATCAACATCTATCAATCTTTTGTGTATTCTTTTAATCAATTTTTTAAAAAAATTGTTGTATATAATCCATTTCATTTAAATTGGCATAACAGTAGGCCATGATTGTGTAAACTGCGCTTTAAATGTGAAAAAGGCTTTACATATTAAGGAACTAAATTTGTCACTAAAAAAAGTGAGGTTAAGATAGTTAAAATTTTATTTTTAAAGAACCCTATTTCAAAGGTTTTCAGAGAGAGTTTTTCTCCATAAAAAGTATCATCCCTTTGTAGGTGTATAGTTTTGACACAAAAACATACACTAATTGCTTTGGAG